CTCTTGCAAAATTAACTACATATATTCAATATTTAAAAGGAAAACAAAAAAAAAAAGAAGCAAAAGAATAACAACAATAACAACAAAAAATTCATATTATGATACTTGCAGTCACTTTATCTTCGTTCACTTTATTAATTTATTATATTTCATAATATTTCCATTTACGCACACATATAAAATGCTTATGCATATCCATTTATCTTGTTTACCTATTCGTTGCGAATGGAAATGTTATGAAAACAAACTTCTATTTCAATCGAGAACCTTTTAAGCAACTGCTAAGCTTTACTGCTTTCAACATTAATATTCTTTAAGAGAACCTTAAACAAAGTGACGTAAAGGAAAAGTTCGGGTTCGCGTTATCGCTTGTTCACGGTTTAATATCGCAGTAGAGTTTCAATGATTTTACAAAGGATTCGCTATTTGTGGACTTTTTTACATCCTATCCGATTGGATGACATTATGATTAATACAAGTTAATTCGTTAAAAGATTCATATGACACACACTATATATATATATATATATATATATATATATATATATAAAAAAATAAACATTTACTGGTGGCGGCCAAAGGTACGAAATCGCTCGATTTTAATCTTTATGTTCATTAGCGGTTATATATTGTAATTTTTCCTTCCGAATATTTCTTATCCGTTCGAAATTATTTATTATGCATTATCTGCCTTTTGTGCTCGCTTCCCATTATCATTACATTGTGCATTGTACATTGGCAGCGGCCGTACACGTCCTCATGCTCGCAGTCTTATTTATTATGCAGCAAGTATTTTTGCATATTTGAAATTTTTATATATTTCGGTTATGCAAATAAAAATACTTGCATTTTTGATAAGAAACATGCCGCAAATTTTTATTACACTTCTCTATGAAGAATCTAGTAATTTATACGATACACACATTATTCGTATTTATATATGAAATATTTCTCAATTTCTATGAAATTTTCTTTTTACATTGGTTGAAATAACTTTGTTTGAACTTGACAACAACATAAGAACAAAATTGCGGTTTACGGTACGGTCCTCATGGGAATTTGTTTGGGATCTTTCAATTCTTGGTCTAATCTTCGTCTCAATATGTATCCGTCAATATGTGTTAGGTTATAAGGAAAGTCTTTGCGTTTTTTTTCCGCGGGTTAATGTTAATGCCTATATATCGAGCAAGATTGATCACCTGATTGTCTTGAACGAACATATGCTTAGAAGATGACATTTCAGCTTACGTTTTTTATGCAGACAGTTTTCTAACTCCTTGCTCGTGTAAAAAGTTATATTGTTTTGAAAATGAGTGAAATATTTGAAGAAATTCGCTAAGTGATGCTTTTTTACTATAAAAAAAATGAAAAACGCTACAAAAACAAAAAAAATATCATATGAAGTACATGTTGAGAATACTGTGAGTGAGCAAAGAACCTAGGAGTGGTTGGTTCGATTCCATTCCGAAAATTTTGTTGTCAACGTTGCACTTCGCAGTCACTGAAAAAGTCAATGAAATTTTGCAACTGGTGGAGCAAGATCGTCAGGGAAGCTGTCAGGAGTAACGAAGGTGCATCAACCACATAACAGGTTGGAATCGTTTAAAAAGAGCAGGCTGCACAAAAAAGCAGGAAGACGAGCAAAGACTTTTTATGTGACCCATTCTTTATCTTTCATAAAATCGATTATCAACCTTTTCTTTGTGCTATTGCTTCAACTTCTTTATATCACAAAGTCGACATAGTCGAATATTTTGAATGAAATACTTTACATAATCTAACAGTCGATATTATCCCCGTTCTGTACCATATAAATCCATTTCTCTCTGACTTTTGGTGACTTCGGACCAATTTAAGTTCGAAATCCTTTTTGATCGTTTTAGCAAACCAAGCTTAAAAATTCGCCAACAACTACGAAAAATGGAATAACCAGACTAATTCCGCTCCTTCTTCTACCAAGTTATCACTTAAAAAGAAAAAGAACAAGCTGGCCATTAATCTTAACTTTTAATGATGTATTGCTTTAGTTTCCACCCCTAGGAAAATCTTCGAGAAGATATTGTACTCACGCCTAGAATGGTATCTCGAATCTGATTGCATCCTAAGCAATTTCCCACTCGATTTCAGGCATTCCAGGTCCGCCCAAGATAACATTGTTATTTTATGGTCTGCAGTTAACCCAATCTTTATTAAGGATCGTACTCTCATTGCCTGTGTTTCGGACATAAAATCAGCCTTCGATTCTGTCAACATTAACATTTTAAAATCTATTTTATTCTCTCTGAAGCTCCCCATCGGATTTTATAATTTATTATATGACCTCTTTTTCTATAAGAACATATTAATTAGCAACGATGAAGCCGCCGTACACAGGAGATCATTTGCAGGTGTTTCTTAAGCTACCTCTGTGTTAAGGAAGTTAACAATCTTTTAAGCTCCTTCCTGAGAATATCTCAGTTTGGGTTGTCAGATCTAATTCTGATCAAAAGTTATGCAGACACTTTTTACCGTCCGCCCTTCATATTATCTTCTCTCATGTTAAGTGTCTTCTTAATGACTATGAAACTGGAAAGAAAGATGTAAAAGATCGCATGGAATTCAAATTTAAAAAAAAAACAAGGAACAGTGCACGAATCGACGAAACCACAGGTTTTCAAACGGCGAATGACAAGAAAGTGCTCATATCTGAGAAAAGGGAAAAAAGGCGTGGAAGCCTTGTTAAATGAATTTCATGAAAATGATGGTGATATTGAGGATAATTTATTTCGTATAAAAAATAAAGTTATTTCTAAAAAGCAAAGCATACTGTCTGAGAAAAAAGCTTTTAAGACTTCTTTAAAAAGCAGGAAAGAAAAAGTAGATTACCCCAGTTGTAGCAGTAAGTTGTCAGCAGATGACAAAAAGTCGAATATAAAAGTTGAAAACGACGAAGGGAGTGGAGAGGTGGGAAGCGGCATCGTATTAAGTGAATGGGTTCCTTCTCAAGATAATTCAAAGCAATTTGAATGTAAACAGATCGACGTCGGGCATTCGGCTTTAAATGTTCCATTAGACCCAAAAAAAAAAACATTAGAAATTTTTAGTGTTATATTGTAATTTAATAAATACATTCAATGTCTTTGGTTTTACTCACAATACATTGTTTTAGTTTGCTTTGCTTTGATTTTGTTTCCATTTTTTATTACGAATGGAAGATTTTAACGATTCTTTGGTTGCTACAGTGGGTGGGTCCTATGAATGGGTTCCTACTCCAGGTAATTCAAAGGAATTTGAATTTCAACAACAAACAACATTCGATGATTCGTAACATTTCAAAGACAACAATCTGCACTTCTTTCTAATAATTTAATTAATAATGTGGCTTCGATCCTTAATCTTCCTCTCGAAGCCTCTTTTCCGTACGGTTTTTTTTAATTACAATTACGATCCAAATATCCTCCACAAACCGCTAGTAAAAAAAATTACATGGATTATGATAATTATGCTAAAAATGAAATAGTATTGGAAGTTTAAGGAAGAGTTGGAAGCAATTTTAGAGTACACTCGACTACAGCTGACGTGGCTAAATATGATCCCAAAATCTGGTTCTGTAAAATCTTAAATGCTAACTGATTTACATATAGTTATACGATTTATATATAGTTGCAATATTTATTCAAAATTTTACATTAATTAAATTGTTTTATACATGGACAAAATTAATATAAATATAAACGATGCATTAAGTTGTTGCGGTTACGTCGACGAGCAGAAAAAGTACACGGCCGCTTACCAAACCGTGATGGTATACGCTGTAAGGAGCCTGGCGACGCTATTCCATATGTTACTAAGCTATCATCCGCAAACAAAATCAACTTTAACATCGAAAGACATAATTGACAATCTGAAGCTCGCAAAAGAACTTGGTTTCGATGTACGAGCGGTTGTATGCGACCGAAATCCCGTATACAAAAAAGCTCTTAAGGAATTACCGAATTATTTTTTATAAATATGGCACCGTTCAAAAAGAAAAAGACCAGAAGGGGCGACGGAAT